TTGCCCCATTCAATGTACCATATGATGCAATATAGAATATCCTAACAAATTGTTCGAGGAACGATTTAACATTTGCATGTGACAGTAGCTTGTAACAGTTGGTCTCACCGTTTTTTTCCAATTCTGAAAGGTTTTCGTAATCTTCTAAATTTGCACTATGTTCGATTGAAAATTATGATGACTGACTATTTTGACAATTTCAAATATTCGGAAATTGGAGAAAATTTTGAAAATGAAAATATTGAAAGAAATGACACGGAAATTTTGAAAAATGAAGTTGGAATGATTTTTATTTTCTTCGTTTTTTCCTTTTTCTACCCAGCCACTGGACCGATTTGCAAAAACTACAAAGCTTTTTCGTCCCGTTCCATAGTATTAATCTTGTCTGAAAATTTCACCAAAACCTAATATCTCATTTTCTTTTTCTCGCCAGCAGACGTGGGACGTAAAAAGAGTCAGTTTGATATGTACGGCCTCAGCTCTTCGCCTCCTCTAGAAAACGCTTTGACCGCACATGGCTCGCCTTATTATCTCAACCCTTCTCCGAAAAAAATATCCCTTAACGAGTTTAAGCTTTCACGTTCTTTTCGCTACCGACCATCAGTGGATCTCGAGAACGAAACCCAACCCCCTCATAGTAATTACTTTGTGTATAAAATGTATCAAAGGCCTCTTTTTCCAGGTATGGCAGTTGGTGAATGTAGTCCAGTCTGTGGGTGTTTTGAGGTCAAGAAAGTCTAACACATGAAAAGATGCAAGAACGAAATTCAAGCCTCATTTGATCTGAAACCATTAATGTTTTCAAAACGCTATAGTCACTTTTTGGAATTAGTGATTTACATGATCACAACCTTCAAATAACGACGAGAATGTGGGTATTATGCTTATATATATAGAGCCAGTGATGCCAACTGGTCAAAAAATTTCCCCCAAACTTATTTTAATGACCGATCTCTGAGCTATGGTCAGCTGGCGAGTGGCGAGGTTAGTCATAACAACGTTGCCAAATGGTCGGTACTGTTGGTAGGGCAGATGAGAAATTTCTAGATCGTCACTATGGGCCCGTCTGACTGATTTGATCTATTTTGTTTTGTTATACGTATTTGGACCTCACTGCTCGGAAAGGTTAACTACAGAGTCACCTGCTTGACAACCTATTTCAGTTCCTTTATATTAACACATATTTTTGAATTTTCATGTGCATTTAATAAAACGTTTTCCCGCATATGAACCGGACTAAAGTCCCAGTTTACCTATAGAATTCCACATTGTTCATGGACCTTTTGAAACGAAATGCGGAAGGAACGTTTGACAAACACCTACCTTGTCTCTGTTCGGTATACCTTTTGATATGAGTGTCATTCTGCTAACTGAACTATGTTAAAAGGATAGCTAGTTATCTGAAATACAGATGCATCTATCTATATTTCACGCTATGACAGAGTGTTATTGCAATTCAGAGTTTAATCAACCGTGATATACCGTAGAACGTAAGCGTAGTGAATAACACGGCTAATTTCCCACATTTCAGGATTGTCTGATGATAATGTTCGGATTTTGCGCTCCATATTACCTAAGGCAAACATGTTTAGTTCGCTTCAATGTTCAAGGGCACACTACTGTTCGAGCAAAATTTCAAGGACACTTCAGTATCTGCAACCAGACCCATGAGATCAAGAGAACAAAAAGAAACGAGAAGAAACGAGAAGAAACGAAACGTAAATAAACGAAAAGACACGAAAAGGAACGAAAAGAAACAAAAAGGAACGAAAAGAAACGAAAATAAACGAAAAGGAACGAAAAGAAACGAAAAGAAACGAAAAGAAACGAAAAGAAACGAAAAGAAACGAAAAGAAACGAAAAGAAACGAAAAGAAACGCAAAGAAACGAAAAGAAACGAAAAGAAACGAAAAGAAACGAAAAGAAACGAAAAGAAACGAAAAGAAACGAAAAGAAACGAAAAGAAACGAAAAGAAACGAAAAGAAACGAAAAGAAACGAAAAGAAACGAAAAGAAACGAAAGAAACGAAAAGAAACGAAAAGAAACGAAAAGAAACGAAAAGAAACGAAAAGAAACGAAAAGAAACGAAAAGAAACGAAAAGAAACGAAAAGAAACGAAAAGAAACGAAAAGAAACGAAAAGAAACGAAAAGAAACGAAAAGAAACGAAAAGAAACGAAAAGAAACGAAAAGACACGAAAAGAAACGGAAAGAAGCGAAAAGAAACGAAAAGAAACCAAAAGAAACGAAAAGAAACGAAAAGAAACGAAAAGAAACGAAAAGACACGAAAAGAAACGAAATGAAGCGAAAAGAAACGAAAAGAAACGAAAAGAAACGAAAAGAAACGAAAAGAAACGAAAAGAAACGAAAAGAAACGAAAAGACACGAAAAGAAACGAAAGAAACGAAAAGAAACGAAAAGAAACCAAAGGAAACGAAAAGAAACTAAAAGAAACGAAAAGAAACGAAAAGAAACGAAAAGAAGCGAAAAGAAACGAAAAGAAACCAAAAAGAAACGAAAAGAAACGAAAAGAAACGAAAAGAAACGAAAAGAAACGAAAAGACACGAAAAGACACGAAAAGAAACGAAAAGAAACGAAAAGAAACGAAAAGAAACCAAAGGAAACGAAAAGAAACTAAAAGAAACGAAAAGAAACGAAAAGAAACGAAAAGAAACGAAAAGAAGCGAAAAGAAACGAAAAGAAACGAAAGAAACCAAAAAGAAACGAAAAGAAACGAAAAGAAACGAAAAGACACGAAAAGGAACGAAAAGAAACGAAAAGAAACGAAAGAAACGAAAAGAAACGAAAAGAAACGAAAAGAAACGAAAAGAAACGAAAGAAACGTAAAGAAACGAAAAGAAACGAAAACACACGAAAAGACACGAAAAGAAACGAAAAGAAACGAAAAGAAACGAAAAGAAACGAAAAGAAACGAAAAGAAACGAAAAGAAACGAAAAGAAACGAAAAGAAACGAAAAGAAACCAAAGGAAACGAAAAGAAACGAAAAGTAACTCAAAGAAACGGAAAGAAACGAAAAGAAACGAAAAGGAACGAAAAGAAACTAAAAGAAACGAAAAGGAACGAAAAGAAACGAAAGGAAACGAAAAGAAACGAAAAGAAACGAAAAGAAACGAAAAGTAACTTAAAGAAGCGAAAAGAAACGAAAAGAAACGAAAAGAAACGAAAAGAAACGAAAAGCAACGAAAAGAAACGAAAAGAAACGATAGGAAACGGAAAGAAACGAAAAGAAACGGAAAGAATCGGAAAGAAACGAAAAGGAATGAAAAGAAACGAAAATAAACGAAAAGGAACGAAAAGAAACGAAAAGACACGAAAAGAAACGAAGGGATACGAAAAGAAACGAAAAGAAACGGAAAGAAACCGAAAGAAACGAAAAGAAACGAAAAGAAACGAAAAGAAACGAAAAGAAACGAAAAGAAACGAAAAGAAACGAAAAGAAACCTAAAGAAACGAAAAGAAACGAAAAGTAACTCAAAGAAACGGAAAGAAACGGAAAGAAACGAAAAGAAATGAAAAGAAACGAAAAGAAACGAAAAGAAACGAAAAGGAACGAAAAGAAAAGAACAGAAACGAAAAAAACAAAAAGAAACAATTAGGTGCTAGACTCCAGCGGCTATTTTTTTTTCATGATTTTTCTACATTGAAAACATATCCAATGCACAGAAAATCTGTAGAACGTCTTCGCGTCTCTGTGAAGTCGTCGAAAATTGAACTTGTAAAACTATATCACTCAGCCCAAGGATTCAAAAACTCACGTACTGGATTAAATTAGGCATTAGGCAACAGGTGACCAAGACCTATAAATATAGACCATAAAATAGGAAACTCTATACAAGAAATCCAAACCGCTACGCTTGTTCCACGAAGACGGATCATGAAAAATATATAATCTACCTGAACTATACGCTTATTCCGACAAAGATAACTATGACAGCTCGGCAACGGCGCAGTTAAAGAACCGGCTGCTTCGGACGTGGAGAGGGAGCAAAACGCCGCGCATGGGCAGGCGTTGCCAAGTTGCTACTTTTGACGGTAGTTCCAGAAAAATGTTTCGTATCGGAAAAGTTTTTTCAATCAACAATTGCTTAAAATATACAATGCGTTTCATTAGTGTGACTCCCATTCATTTTTCGAACAGGTCGAAAGCAAGTTGAAATTCGAGACGATGAAAATTGATGCATGTAATAATACTATGTTTAGGTTGTGAGAGTGACAGTTGGTAAATTAAATATGGAGGATGGTGTACCCCCCTCCCTCCCAGACGCTTAAACGTGCCATTTGTGGCAATGAAAATATTCTAGTATCTTGGTGTGAAGTTTACTATGCTAGACCTGGATCGCGAGGCGTAAACCCCCCTCCCTAGACGAATCCCATCCCCGCTCTTCAAATGTCACAAGGACATTTGCTTCCAGAAGCTTTGCTAAGCATGCTGCCGTCACCCCCTCGCTTTTCGATATTTAATCTCTAAACACTCCCCGAAATAAACATGTTGAAGATAAGTCCTGCGACCACTACTGCAATTCCCGGCTTAAATAGATTCCTAAACCCGCATATGATCACTCCCACGTACACATCTTTCAGTTCTGCCAATACAAAAACAAGTTTTATATCTAAGGGCCGTAGCGTCAATCGTTCCTACAATTATGGGACGCCTTTATGGCTTCCTTGAATTTCATCGTCTGGGATATTTCTAGATTTTTACTGTTCTGTGACAGCGTCAGCGCCTCCCCTAATTATGATTTCTTTTTGAATTGCAGGAAATGTTAAAAATTAAAAGCATGAACAATTTGATGCAAATAGATATTTGTAACATAAACTCAAGATACAGCCCCTTTCTGAAGGACAAGAAAAATTATGAAAATAAAGGAATCCATAAAGGCGTCCTACAATAAATTGTATGAGCGACTAACGATACCGCCCCAAGTATCTCGGATACGAAAATTCCGATTTGGCAACAATGCTCACGAACAGCTTGAGCATTCAGCCATCTTTGTCTGTTGCGTTTCTGTCATTCTGACGCGTCTGAATGCGGTGTTAAATGTGTGTTTAGAACAAAAATGCATTAAGATGACAACAAATGAGCCAGGTAATGTATAAAATAAGTTACATATAAATAAATATTAGTTAATTATTTTCATATAAAAGCATCTATAACTTAGGTAATGTTTACGAATCAGATATGTCCATCGTTGCCAGATGTTCGGATAAGAAATAAACTTACGTTTTCGAGTTTTACAACGTCAAATATGATGAAGTAACGCAACTCCCGGCGATATGTCGAATGTATAATAGAAAATACTATTTTCAATAATTTAAACGGAATCCGTACGAAGACTTTTTTACGTTTTTCTAGAGACCCTAATCCTTATCATAGATAGGAAAATTCCGATTTGGCAACAATGCTCACCAGCAAGTCGAGCGTTCATCCATCTTTGTCTGTCGTGCTCCTGTCGTTCTGGTGCGTCTGAAAGCCGTGTTAAATGTGTGTTTGGAACAAAAGTGCAATAAGATGTCAACAAATGAGTCAGGTAATGTAGAAAATAAGTTACATTTCGTGCGTTTATACTTTCATTTGCTTTGGGAAACAAGATTAGTTCATTATTTCGTATAAAAGCATCTATAACTGTCGGTAATGTTTACGAATCAGATATGTGCATTGTTGCCAGACGTTCATATAAGAAATAAACTTACTTTTTCCAGTTTATATAATAAATACAGTAACCCAGCTCAATATGTGGAACTCTGCAAGAAATAGAAAATAATATTTTCTATAATTTATATTGCATAATCACCTACCGAGTTTAAGAATTCTTCTGCGACACCCAACTAAAAACATTCCTTCTCTGACATAGGTTTGAAATCTATACGAACCCTGATCTGTCATCACTTACGTGTTTAAGTAAACAATGTCTAGCATAACACCCGGGACACGCGAGTGTAAAATTATGAGCTGTAAAAAAATGCGCATTGAGCATTGTAGTGAAGAATTTTTAATAGGTTCTACACAGTTTATAGACGTTGTTTGGTTAGTGAAACGATAAAAATACGATGTTTCGGTATGATATGTGATATCCGATAACGAATTTAAACGGAATATGTGCAAAGACGTTAATTTCTTAAGTTTTTCTAGAGACCCTGAATTTTGTTTTGTATCCAAGCATCATAGATATGAAAATTCCGATTTGGCAACAACGAGTTCATCCATCTTTGTCGTATTTCTGTCGTTCTGGCGCATCTGAAAGCGGTGTTAAATGTGTGTTTGGAACAAAAGTGCAATAAGATGGCAACAAATGAGTCAGGTAATGTACAAAGTAAGTTACATTTCGTGCGTTTATGCTTCCATCCGATTTTTAAATAAATATTAGTTAATTATTTCATATAAGAGCATCTAACTGTAGGATGTAGGCAATGTTTACGAATCGGAAAGTTGCATTGTTGCCAGAAATTCGGATAAGAAATAGGCATGCTTTTTCCAGTTTTACAACATGTCAAATATAATAAAGTAACACAACTCCCGCCGAACTCTGCAAGAAACATAAAAGAGAAAATGCTATTTTCTATAATCTATATTGCATAATCTCCTACCGAGTTTAAGAATCTTCTACTATACCCAACTAAAAACATTCCTTCTCTGACATCGGTTTGATTGATACCTACACGAACCACCCTGATCTTTCATCACTTGAGCTTAAGTAAACAATTTCTGGTATAACACCCGGGACAAACGAATGTAAAAAACGCGCGTTGATAATTATATTGATGAAGAGTTTTTAATAACTTCTTCAGATTGTTGTTTGGTTAATGAAATGATGAAAATGCACACACATGCACACGTGTTCCCTCGCCAGAGTCCGTGTGGCGTTCCCCCTTTCCCCTGTATCCCCCTATAGCCCCACGTTACCCAATGGGTGTTTAGGCCTCAGGCCTTCCTGGTAGTTGGAGTATAAAAAAAAGAGACCCTAATCTTAGCAAAAACTGGTTACAATTTGCAGCATATGTGAAGCTTTGAAGCAAGTCGGCTGAAAAATTAAAGTAGTTTTTAGGGAGTTGCGTTGTTATTAGTATTGATAAATGTATTCTACCGGAACGATGTACTGTATTCTGACGCCTAAAAGGGATCTGAAATATCTAACGCCGTTTTTACAAATCAATGGTATTAGATATGCAGTGCTATGGTTTTACTTATAAATTGGTCTACTAAGCATGGTACAGATAATATTAAAGATACTCCAAGGACTCACACTGCTGACACTGCGAACTGGGATACAGTTAAAGCAGCTTGCTGTTTTCACTTTCCCAGTAATGATTTTGGTTGCTTTATTTCAAAATATACTAGCATAGCGCTTAGCCTAACCTTCCAAATTAGCTGTTATGGCATGATAAGTATCAATAAGGTTAAATTGTTTCAGATTCAGAACGCCAAAAGCTAAGGCAGTTTAGAAAAAATAAAGCGAACATAGTAGAAGCAAATAGCATCAACATAGATCCCGATGACAACACAAAAGGAATTGTAGCAGAAGATGAAAATCCTAAAACCGCTGAAAAGGAATCGACTGAAGCCAAAGAGATGTATAGAACAGCAGAATGCATCCGAACCATACAACTTTCCATAATAAGTGAAAAGTAAGTTTACATATTTATTTTCATGTGACCAGTGTTCTCTCGATCTTCCACTAAATTCAAATAATTAGCGAATTTCGATCGTATCAAACTTTTGACTCATACGAGGGCGATCCGATAAGTACTTAGCGTACAAAAGGAAAATGAAAATTTTGAAAAAGTGGCGATTTATTTCTCAACATAGCTCGATACGCTGGACTCATTGATGGTCCAACTTTCAACTTGTATTGAATATTTATTCAATATCTTTTAAATATTTCAAGTAAAATATTTATTTTCTAATATTCATCAAATATTTTGTTTTTCAATCAATGGAAAATATTAAAACTCCATTATTTAGAAAATATCCATTAATAGTTTTGGCTACGGCGCATGTGCGTGTAACGCCGAGTGACCAATAGCATAACGGCAAGCCGACCTGAGGCAACTCGTTTGCTGGCATCCATTTTGCTTGTGAGGTTCATTATGATAGCGTGCTTCCTGTGTACCTCCAAGTGCTACATTATTTGAGTTTTTTTCTCTTGTGGAAAAGAGTAAGTTTTGAGATTGTATAGGTTAATTTTCCTGACGAGTGAACATTATTGTGCCTGTTGAGTATAAAGGTATTTACAACACCATAAAACTTAGCCTTGAAGTGTAACAGTTACTTGAAATTTCGGATTGGTGGATTTATCTGAAAATGGATAAAAAAATTATATTCATAACATCCCAATGAAAAGTCATATAGTCACAACTTGATCGAGATATAGCAAAAATGCTTTTTTTGAATCTCAATTATTTTTTTGTCGTAGTGGAGGGGGGGTTCAAATCAGCTATAAGCATTTTCAATTTTTAAGTTCAACAGCGGCGTTCCAAAATTTTAACAGTCGAAAAAACTATACTTTTGTCCCTTGAATTATAATATAAAATCACACGATAGTTATGGCTAAATTAGCCCCCTTATTAATGATCAAGTTGTTCCCATGAACATTTTTCATCTAGATATCTAAAATAACATACCAAATTTCCTTAAAAATTAACCAAATCTCGAACTCTTATAGGAAAGAAATGTGGTGTCCTGTTAGATGCATTATAGTTGAGTAGTTCTGGAGAATATCTCTCTCAAACAAAAGACCAGTTAAAAGCATCTTATATTTATATTACTCAATAATACTTCATAATTAGTGAGTTTTTTTTTCAGATGAGTGGATTTGCAAGATGTAGAAGAGACTTATATTTTTGAAGATAATTTTCTAGCAAATTAAACCATCGTAGAATGAATTTTCTTTATAAACCCAATTTTATAAAAGGATTCCTGCAGATTTTGCTAAAAGATATAACCAATGAAGAATTTTTCTGTATAGACTAAAAATATGTATCTGATTAACGCATGAAAATATGTTGCTTTATATATTTCCTAAATATATATTTACGAAAAATAGTAGATAAATATTTCATCAAAATATAAAAATGATATTTAAAAATCTTTCCTCGCATATTTTCTATTTGAAATAAATATAGCAAAAATATATGAATTGTTTATACTGAAAATGTCTATAATGAATATTTTATGAATATATAAGAAATATATTTATTAATACTAAACAAATCTGTCGCTATAAATATTAAACAAAATTTTTTCAAAAATATTTAATAAATATTTACTGCTATCGGCGTATTATTGGAATCGGCTCTAAATTTTTCAAACTGTTTATATTCCATGACATAATTTCTCTTGCAAAAGTGGCGCCACCAGCACTTATCGGATTGTCCTCGTATGCCTTGCATGCATCCGACGGATTGCCTATACCTTCTGGGACACCCTGAATACAACAAATCTCCATTGTAAGCCTATACGAACGGTATCACTTATAGCTGGGATTGTGATTTTAACGTTTTTCAATTTTTATTTTCCAGTCAAGGAGAAAACTTTGAAGTCCAAGCCGAAAACGAAGCCATATCATCTATAACCCGCCAGAATACACCAACAAATGGAAAACGTCGGATGAAAAGCAACTATAACACTACCGAATCAAGCGATTACACAAACCACTGGTCGCCACACAAAAAAGAATCATATGAACAAATTAAATCTTTTTTCCGCGAAGAAGAGGTAGAATGTACTGATTTAAATTTGAACGGGCAGCGTGAACACGTGAACAAACACTTTTTGTTACGTTATGAGTGTATTTTATGCAATTACGTTACCTACTTGGAAACAGATCTTTCTAAGCATATTGATACTCACGTTTCAATCCATTGCAGCACTTGCGAATTTCAAACGATGAAGGAGTTTTTCGCCAATGATCATCTTGAAACGCCTTGGGGCTGTTCAGAATGCGGATACCACTCCCATCACTGGTTAGACGTCAATAGGCATATATTCTCACGTCATCGTACATCAATTTCACTTTACTTATGTGAACTTTGTTCATTTATCACTACTAACAACGAGGTTATCATAAAGCATAAAACCGTTCACAAAAAATATTTCGTGCCGTGCAAGTTGTGTGACTTTACCACAAAAAATACGAATGTTTTAGACAAGCACTATGAAAATACACATACCATTTCACGCGAATCTACTGATAAAACCATGAAACCTCTGATAAAATGCACGTTTTGCGACTGTCTATTTAAACATGAGAGCTTTGCAGGGAAACATCTTGCCTTGCATATACGAAATGGACCTTCTTATAAATGTAACAAATGCAATGATTTTGGTATTGACAATGATTTGTCTACAGAAGATGCAATAATCACATGTCCATATTGTGACGCTAGGAGAAATTATCGTGTTGACATCCATAGCCATATACTGCAATGCCATTTGGCCAAACTACAAATAGAACCTGTTAAATATGGAAAAATGAAAAAAACCGAAAAACAAACGAAACAAGGCACGACGTTTCAGGGAAAACGAAACAACACAAATGATCCAAGTTGTATTGAACTAGAAACCACTATAAGCGATGGACAACTAGAGGGTGTTAAGTGTAATAAAAAAACTCGAACAACCAAAAAACAAGAAATACAAAATAAACACCCAGACACGACGTTTCAGGGAAAACGAAACAACTCGAATGAGTCAAGTTGTATTGAACTAGAAACCACAATGAGCGATGGACAACTAGAGGGTGTTAAGTGTAATAAAAAAACTCGTACAACCAAAAAACAAAATAAACACCCAGACTCGACGTTTCAGGGAAAACGAAACAACTCAAATGATCCAAGTTGTATTGAACTAGAAACCACAATGAGCGATGGACAACTAGAGGGTGTTAAGTGTAATGAAAAAACACGAACAACCAAAAAACAAAATAAACAACCAGACACGACGTTTCAGGGAAAACGAAACAACTCAAATGAGTCAAGCTGTATTGAACTAGAAACGACCATAAGCGCTGGACAAAAACAAGCAAAAGGATTATTTCTAGGCGTAATAACAAAGGCAAAACAAGGCTGCATCTATCCAACTTGTGTTGATATAATAGAAGACGCAATCCATTTTGTGGTGCATTTAGACGAAAAACACAATATACCTCCACGAATTATTGCCAGAGTTCTTGAAAGCAAAGTTGTAAAGATAATATGTACATCCCACTATCAGTGTGATTTCTGTCCTCATATGACGTTATCCGAGCAAGACTACACTGAGCATATCAAATCTCATGTCATCTTCAAATGCGAAAAATGTTCTTTGGAATGTACAAAGCAGGTGTTTATAGATGATCACAATGAAGACTGTTATACCTGTGAGATGTGCAGTTTTAAAGCTTACCATTGGTTTTTAATTTTCAAGCACATGCTTAGTCACGAACGCGACACTTCGTATCTAACATGCGAATTCTGTACGGCCGTAGCGAAGAGTCCCCTTACTATTGAAAAACACCGCCGTGTGCATGAACAGCAATGCTTCTTGCGTTGTCAGATATGCCAATTTCAAACAAAAAACGTCAGTTCGCTCGAAGAACATTATATTGTTTATCATGAAACCGTATCAATACTGGAAAATGCGGCAGTACATCTCACTCAAAGTTTTGGCTCGGAAAGCAAACCTAGGGGAATTTTAAATTGTGCATATTGTGCTTATACAGATGAAGATATGGTCAAAATGATCAACCATATGACACTTACACATAATGCTCTTTTGGAAGATGAATGCTACCGGTTTAGAGAATCTGAGGTTGTCAATGGGCCAGAATCCACTCAATGCATTACTTCGGCTGAAGGAACTATCAGTAACGACATGACCAGTCCGACCAAACATATGGCCCTTGAACATGGTACTCCATTGCAAGACGGACGCCACCAGTTTGGACAATCTAGTGTCGTCAACGGACCAAAATCCATTCAATGTGTTACCTCGAGAGGTAAACAAAATGGAATCAGTAAACATATGGTCAATACGATCAAACATACGACCCTTGGACATGGGACTCATTCGGAAGACGAAAGCCATCAGTTTGGACAATCTATTGTTGTCAATGGACCAAAATCCACTCAATGTGTTACCTCGACTAAAAGGACTTCTTATATCAGCAGAGACACGGCCAATCCGACCAAACATACGGCCCTTGGACATGGTACTACTTTGGAAGACGAAAGCCATCAGTTTGGACAATCTACTGTTGTGAATGGATCAAAATCCACTCAATGTGTTACCTCAGGAGGCAAACGAATGGGACTTTTTTATATCAGGAAAGATATGTTCAAGCAGATGCTCAAGAATACAATGCTTGGACATGGTACTCCTTTGGGACAATCTATTGTTGTCAATGGACCAAAATCCACTCAATGTGTTACCTCGGCTAAAAGAAGTTCTTATATCAGCAGAGACATGGCCAATCCGACCAAACATACGGCCCTTGGACATGGTTCTCCTTTAGAAGACGAACGCCATCAGTTTGGACAATCTAATGTTGTGAATGGATCAAAATCCACTCAATGTGTTACCTCGGGAGGCAAACAAACGGAACTTTTTTATATCAGGAAAGATATGTTCAGTCTGCTCAAGAATACAATGCTTGGACATGGTACTCCTTTGGGAGACGAGAGCCATCAGTTTGGACAATCTAATGTTGTGAATGGACCAAAATCCACTCAATGTGTTACCTCGGCTAAAGGAACTTCTTATATCAGCAGTGACATGTCCAATCCGACCAAACATATGGCACTTGGACATGGTACTCTTTTGCAAGACGAAAGCCATCAGTTTCGACAATCTAATGTTGTGAATGGATCAAAATCCACTCAATGTGTTACCTCGGTTAAAGGAACTTCGAATATCGGTAAAGACATGGTCAATCCGACCAAACATACGGCTCTTGGACATGGGACTCCTTTGGAAGACGAAAGCCATAAGTTTGTACAATCTGTTGTTGTGAATGGTCCAGTATCCACTCAATGTGCTAATTCAGCTAAAGGAACTGTTTATATCAGTAAAGATATGGTTGATCTGATCAAACGTACGACCCTTGGACATGGTAGTCCTTTGGAAGACGAACACAACCAGTTTAGACAATCTAATGCTGATGAACAATCAGGTAAAACTGGTGCGGACATGAACAAAATAAAAAAATATGCATACAAAAGGATGAAAGGTTATCAATCAGAAGAAAGTTTAAAACTAAAAATCAAGAAACCTATGCCATCCGGTGAAAATGTAAATAACCCAGGTCTATCAAATGGAAGCTGTAGTAAAGACACGTTGGTTCTGGACAAAGATTTGGATGGTAAATTGATAATTAAAAAAAGAAATGTGAAGCGTATGTTATCCAGTAACACTGTTGTGAATCTTGATTCCACAAAAGGTAAGACTCCTAAAAAGAGACGTAAAGGAGATCAAACTGAAATTATAAATCTAATAAATACACAAGATCTAACAAATCAAAGCTATATACTTTCATTCCATGTCGATCAGAATGAGGACTCGACTCAATCTAGTCCAGCAGAGCACGTTGAAATAAACGTTGAGAGTGCAGATGAAAGTGATATTAAAGAATTTGTGTTTGGAGCAGTTGAACAAAAAGATACGTTAGAATTAGCCACTGGCCAGAGTAAATTATTTGAAAATCCTATAGCTGAAATTAAAACAGAAAATATGGAGGAGCCAGGTCCTGGATTTCATATTACAATGTTTCAAGACTTCAGTCTTAACAAAACCAGTAGTCAAGAGCCAGTAGTACTTGATACTTCAGACATAACAGTTGAGACTGAAGTCGAAATCAAAGAAGAGGAAGCATCTGCAAGTGCAGATGAAACAAGTGATGTTGAAGATTTTATTCGCAGCAATGTTTTCAAACACTGTCATAGATGTTGTCTGACCTTCAATTGCGATAACGATTTTACAAAACACATGTCAGATATTCATGGATCTAAATATGTAATAATTCCAGAAAATGATCAAACAGAATGTGAAACACAAACACCTGCACAGGCCAAAGATATATTAGGTTGTCTTATATGCTTGGATACTTTTGACAGTAATCATGCTCGTGATGAACATATGTGTCGAATACATGCATGTTCAGTAGAAAACGTTGAAGTTGAACAAAAATCTACAGAAGGGTCAGGCTGTCGAGTCACTCAGGAAAACCAACAGTTACTTGACAAACATATGTTTACCAACCACAATCTTGAAACAATGGATGAAGTCATGAAAGTAGAAATTGAAGAAGCGACATGTAAAGAACAATACGCACATTTAAAAGAAGTTTGGCGTTGTAATGATTGCTCTTTCACAGGAAAGATAGAAATAGAACTTCTGCTGCACAAAGCTATAATGCACGCTATGACTAAACGTAAAGATTGTCCAGTATGCGATTATGCTTCAAACAGCTTAGAGTCTCTCGATCATCATCTACGAACTGCTCACTCGCTGAAACGTTGTAAGCGAGACACGGACATACTGTCAAACAGCATACCGTCATTTAACCAGGAAAGTAATAAATGGCACTGCACAGAGTGTAACTATACAGCTGACGATGAAATACGTATTGTAGAACATATTGTCCACATGCATAAGCCGAAGGAAGAATGGATTTGTGCAATATGCCCCTACACAGCAACAATAGATATTATGCTAGAGAAACACGCGCACACAAAAATTGTCACAATGAAACCTGTCAAGGAGGTTCCACCAAATAAACCAAATATACAAAACTTGAACTGTAAGTTTTGTAACTACAAATCTACAAAAAGCATTTACTACCTTCATAAACACTTGGCTATCGTACACAACATAAATATGAATGATGATCCAGACAGAAAAGTACCTTGCAAACAAGGAGGATGCAAATTCATAGCAGCCAGCATAGATGAACTGAGCGTTCACATGGCGGAACATCTACATAATACTGAGAAGAAGATATGGCTTTACAATTGCAAACGTTGCGGTTTTCGATGTTCATTGGAATACATCTTCAACAGACATAACAAGAAATGTGAGAGGATTGCGGAGCGTCTACGTAACACTAAGAACAAAGTATGGCGTTACAATTGTGAGCACTGCGATTTTGGATGTCGATGGAAAAAAATCTTCATGAAACACATCGAGAAATGTCAGACATTACATAATACTAAGGAGAAAGTATGGCTTTACAGTTGTGAGCGCTGCGGTTTTGAATGTTCATGTAAAAGCACCTTCATTAGGCATAGCAAGAGATGTGAGACGAATACTTGATAAGGTGCTACCATTGTGAAATTAAAGAGTCTGTTTAAGGACGATTTGAGTGTTATGGATATTGTACAAAAAGGAAAGAGTTGATCGATTTGTAATTTATGTACAGATATAGCAAAAGATGCTTAGCAGAAAAGTTTTGGAGTATCAGAAACAATTGAAATCACAAAAAAATCGGAAGTGAGATTGCTATGTAATGTTGTTTGTTTCCTTATGTATATTTTTGTATTTTTTGAGACAAATAAATGTTATAATGAGTATTTTTTTTTATTCATTTGACAACAAAAGTGGGTGGAAGATATTTGTAACAAAATAATTATTAACTTGCAGCTCAAACTCTGATTCACGTTCAGGATGTTTCAAATTCGACCCTCACCAGTGGGATCTCGGAAACTGTAGAGATACAGTCGTTGTGAGATGTACAACCCTCTTGACACAAAGCTTATTCGTCAAAGACCCCCGCACAAAATGTGAAAATGTACAGAAAATGGGTCCCAGGCGATTTGTCTAAAGATTGGTATGATAATTTACATATTTCAATGTCAAAGTATACAAACAATCTTGACCTTAAATTGACCTTGTAAGGATCATGCCCAAGATCAACATGTCAGCTACCAACATTCCATCCTAAAAAGTTTTCAAACGAAATACTTTCTTCAGCATAATAACGCTCAGAGTATTTAGTATGAGAACATTTTGGCAAAACGGACAAGCTTCTGGCCCCTATCTCTCAGAAACCATTAAAAGAATTACTTTGGTCACAGAAGAAATTATGATCAGGAAATCGAGAAATATATCATACTGAATTTGTAAACAAACCTATTCTCCATATGATTTGTGCGGAGTTTTATTACGAAAAGCAAAAGCAATGTCAAATATTCCTAGCGCCATTACTGGAATTTTCGCGAACCCTTGGTGAAATATACGCCGCACGCCTATGGTCTGCCTGGACTACGGTCGCAGCAAAGGGCAGAGAGCGAGACGTGTAGTCGTGAAACTAGTATTAGTTATCGTGATGGGAACTTATCAGCGTTTTAACTTGTTTGACAGGCGCATAGTATTATCGAGATCAGAGGCTTCTTGATACTAAAGTATCATCCAACATTCAAGAGCCCCTACCCCATACTGAGTTTGTCTAATTTGTTTGCCCGAATATCCGCCGCCACTGGACCGATTTTCAAAAAATTTCAAGGATTTTCCGTCCTTGACATATTAGTAACCTCGTGTAAAAACTTCATCAAAATCCGAACAGTTCTTTCCAAGTTATAGACGGGCCAAGGATTATCGGACAGACCGATCGACGGAAATTAATTGTTTTTTCTGATGTATGTCCTGCAACGTTCAAAAAACATCTCTCATTTTCGCAATTGCAATACTTTCTCGCCCATTGGCGTGAGAAGTAAAACAAATACTCTAAGGGATATATCAGTCGTTCCCACAACTGAATGACGCCTTTATGGCCTCCTTGATTTTCATAGTCTTTTCTCTCCTTCAGCGTCAGTGCTATCATTTTGTGAGGTTATGTTTTCTTTATGAGCTGTAGGAAATTTCAGGCTGATGATTTAAATCAAAAGCATGAACAATTTAATGCAAATAGATATTTGTAACGTAGCCTCAAAATAGAGCGCTGACACGGAACAGTAGAAATCTAGAAATACCACTGCCTTTCTGAAGGACAGGGAAAGCTATGTAAATCAAGGAGGCCATAAAGATGTCCTACAAGGAACGACTGATGATACGGCCCTTAGAAAATGACCATAGAAACAAATCGCTTTTCCGAAAAAAATGTTGCTTCACATTTCTCAAGCAACTATTTACATGAAACAGGAATACATTTCAAATCAGATAGGACTCTAGGAACCCTACCACTTCTGTATGGTTCTTATAGCAGAAGCAAATGAATATACTTTCCGATTTTAATTTCCAGAACACAAAGTAACAAAAGAACATGTACTTACACTAGTTGCCTATACAATATTGTTAGTCCATTCCTTACCTGGAAAAAAATAAACAACCATTATGAAAATAATTCAGCATCAAGCAAAAAAGAAATATTTGAAAACACAAGTTTGGAAATATCATCTCGCCCTAACAAAAATATTCAGAATAGGCCAAATAATGATCGGATGCTGGAGAAATATACAAAATTGTTGAAAATATTTCATTGTATATTTAATGAATATATCTCAGGTAGTGCGCCTCTTGAGTAAATCTGACAACGCCGCTAATCACCGTTTGCGCGTCTGTGCATCAGGTTTTGATTTTTCCCCAAATGCAGAGGATGTTTACCAATGAACTGTCAACACTGAGTGTTGGCAGTTCATTGATGTGTACACACATGTGGAATTATTGGAGGCATGCATATCTAGAGGATTTTTGGGGGTAGGTAAAATCTTTTAGTATTCTTCAACGACGGGAAAAGATTCACACAACATATAGACGGGGTCACGTGATGTCTATTTTTGAAGCTAAAAACTTTATAACCCCAAAACATAGGATCACTATCTTACAAAATGGAGAACTGGTAGGCTGTTGAAAATGAATGTTTTTGTAAATCATCGTTCATAACTCAACAATTAATCATCAAAACGCTTTCTATGTATCATATTTTATTGCACATTTTTCGACATTCAACCTGCTATTTTGAAATAAAAGAGTGGATTTAGAGTTGGAGCCCTCTAGACGTCTAAGCCGAGGCCATTTTGTCTAAGAAACTGGTATATAGAGTGCTGCATCTCAGTGTAAAAATTACCGTCATAGACCTGAACCGCTAGACGTATCCCCCCACCCCCGCTCTTGAATTGTCACATGAGCATTTACACTCAGAAGTGCTGCTCAAGTGCTCCCCCCGCTCTTAAATTTTTAATCGTCACAACCCTCCACCAAGACAAAAATCTTCCTTAACACAATCTTTGTTGATAACGACTTACATTCTAGGTTTATCAAGAACATCAATTTCATCACCCGAATTTCAGCTAGCTAACTTGACCCCTTCAAAAGATATATAGGAGAAAAGCACCCTATTCAAATGAAATCAACACCAGATCAAAACAAGCACAAGCTCGCAATCACCAAATTGTCGCAACACTACCATTTTTTTGTGTGATAGGCATGCGACTAAATGATAGATACTATATACACCTTAGGAAAAACCATTGTTATACATGGGAAATCATTTCTTGGCAACAGCGCATCGGCTCGTCTACTTTCATCGCTATTCGTACATATTTCCTACCGTTAACGCGCGTGCCGTCGTCAAGTGCGATAAGGGATTCATGACTCACTCTGCGGTTGGGTTTTGTGTAGGAAAGGTGCGTCTTTATTTAATCCAAAATACCTTAAAAATGTACTCCCAAGAAGAAAAGTTTCAAATGATAGAATGGTACATCCAGAATAATTCAGCACGCCCGGTTGTTGCATTATTTTCGGTACGCTTCCCAGATCGGCCAAGTCCGTCTCACTCAACGGTTATAAATACCTACGAAAAATTCAAGGGGGTGGGCTGCTTACATAAGTGACATAGCTGCATGCACCCTGAAGGTTGGAAACCAAAAATTAGCGAGAAAAGGGAGGAGATCGAAACTGTTGTTTGTGCCGCTGCAGAAGTATCTGAGCCATGCTCAAGCAGAAAAATTGCTGAAATGGTACCAATAGCCGATCTCACACCCAGAACAACAAGAAATATTTTGCATCGCAACGGCTATCATAGCTTCAAGGTTGGAACGGTTCAAGAAATATTTCCTTTAGACAAATACCGTCCAACGGAGTTTTGTGAAACGGTCATGGAGAAGGCGAACAGGGATGGAAGTTTTATTGGTAACATTTTGTTTACTGATGAATCCACATTCCCTCTCCACGGTCATCACGATCCTTCAGTCGTTCGGTATTGGTCTTGGGAAAATAAACACCTCAGTATTCCCGTCCGCACGCAGTATCCACAGAAACTGAATGTGTGGGCAGGAATTCTAGGTAATAACATTACCGGACCGTTCTTTATTGATGGAACTGTTACGGCTGCAAAATATTTGGCGTTACTACAGACGCAGATTGTTCCTGCAATTAGGCAGCTTGGCATTGATCTCGCTAATATTTGGTTCCAACAAGATGGATGCCCGGCGCATAATGCGGCGATCGTACACACTTACCTTGAAAGTGTGTTCGGCCACCGGATTATTGGCGGTAACGGAACAATAAAATGGCCTCCTAGATCACCCGATCTAGCGCCCAATGATTTTTTCTTGTGGGGTTATGTGAAAAGTACTGTTTACACTTTCAATGAGAGAGCAGACAATTTGCATAACCTACAGGTGAAAATCGTTGAAGCGCTCGGGCAAATACAGCCTTCTACCGTCTTGAGAGTTCGTCAGGAGTTTTATAACGCCTGACATTGAATGAAGGAGACGTTTTTGAGCCCCAGCTGTGAAGGACCATTTGAAACATTTGTGTTCATTTTTGCGTTTTATTTTTGAGAACTTATTTTTTTGTTATAATATCTTTTTATTTTCGTTACACATTTTTAAGAGTGTACTATTTTTTGTTAGAGTGGGGGTATCTTCTTATTTTTGTTATGAGACGCAACCTTTATTGCTACAAAACCAATTATCCATTCATAGAAATAAGTAGTGATTTCGTGAAATCTCGAAATCACCGAAATCGGTTCACAGGACGTCCAATCGAACTGGTGCGTAATGCGCGCATCTACTGTACTTCTTCTGTCGACTCAACGCATACTGAAATTTGCAGCAGACCGCAGACCTGTATCACGAATGAGAATAATAGGCAGATATGCTGTGTTGCCAATTTGAGTAGAGCTTCCCGAATTGTGGGGAATTTAGAGTTAAGTGTTGATTCATTCAAGCTTTTAATCATCATGGCCTAGACGTTAGAACTTCATAAAGATAACATTGAAGCTGAATGCTGCTGGAGTATAGTGTTTCGAATATTCAAAGCGGAGCGGGACACTATACTCGTTCAATGGGTCATCAAGCCACAGTCTTTTCAACAAAGAAATTATTTTACGAAAATGCGTTATACTCGTATTTTTACGATTTTGTCGTCACCAAATCTCTGTTTCTCAAAATGTACGTCTATTGTAGAATTTTCAGCAAACTAAGCAAGACACGTGATCTAGTATTTACTCAACATTACGGATTTCTCGAAATACATTAAAAAATGTGACCTAGATACCTAACTGCCCCAAGCTCTTTAAATATAACACCTTAAACCAGGGTTACCAGGTGCTCAGTCACGTTGATTGTCATGTTGTACTGCGCAAGTCAGCAAACAATCTGGCGTAATAAACGTTAGGAATCATCAGGTATTGCCAGATTCCCTAATACCGGGCACCATAGTACCCGTTATAGTTGTCCTTCAAAGTTGTCAAATCGCCCCTATGGCGCAAATTCGCCACACCAGGCAACTGTGCTATAAACAAACCCTGTTTATCACTACTATTTGATAGTCATATGGTAGTTGTAGCCCTATCTAGCGGTCCATGATTTCTCTCAATACTGTTGTATCTCTACTGGCAACAAGAATAGGGATTACAAAATCATTTATACAACAATATACAAACATGAAAAATATGATTTGAACCATGAAACATTAATACAATTTTAATAGTTTGAACTTTTTTCATTTTTGGAATACTCTTATGTGGAATCCGCAGCTATTTTTCCCGAAATTTGGGTAGACTTAGATTTCTTAGAAATATGACATATTGGTATCGGCAACTCTGCGAATGGGAGAAACAAATCGCATTTGTTGAGCGCATCCGTCTAAGCGGTAGGCGCCAGCGCCCGTTCTGCCATCTCTCTTTTATCACTCTTCTACTTTACCCCGTTGTCCGTCACACTCCGACGCTGCCAGATAGGATCCTACAATCGAGTGTCTTTCACGCACCTACATACTTTTGTATATTTCCATCTCTCTTCCTCATCATAAATTATAATAATGGTTTTTCCGAAGGTGTATACTATAAGACAATAGGTCGGGAAAGAAATAATAGGCCAATAAAAATGCGAGGATTTCACGATAGAGCAGTCGTTTTCGTTTTGAAGCAAGAAGGGACAAGGAGCAAGTTAGCAATAATTGTCCACTCGACCCTTTCTAGGAGAGTCCGACACTCCAGACAGAATAGCCGACTACTATCAAGGAATTTCCGAGACCTGTGCCAACAGATTCTTCAATTTCAATATACCTCTTCAAGACATGCTAGATTTCACATCGACTGGACTATTAAACACACAAAACCAATTTACAAAACTTCGCAGATAATAATGCAACTAAAAATTTAATCTGGCAACGTCGCTAAAACGCCATCGCCCATCCTGCTTGTCAGCTTGTTTGCGTCGCAGTCAGTGGGTCGGTGCACTCAATGTTCGAATAAAATGCAATTAATGGTGGTGTCTGTGTAAATAGAACCAGGTAAAATTTATTTTAACAATTAAACCGCCTATGTAGCTTAAACAGATATCAACAGCGATGTTTCAACATTATTTTCTGTCGCCCTTGTGTAGGTGATCCATGTGTTCATTCGTAGATTTCCGACGTTGCCACGTTTACATTCGGAATTCACACATACTGAGACTTTTCTATGCACGTGAATAGGAAGCAAAATATAGACTACATATAATCAGCCAGTGAAAAAATTATTGAAATCGACCAATAAATGACAGAGAAATGGATACTTAAATTTGGCGCATTATAGCGCGAAATCATTGCTGCCGTTCGTTCGCGTCTGACGTCACACTTCTCTAGTGCCCAGCGTCTTGTCGCGTAGGTGTTCGACAGCGTCTGTGTGTTTAGTTATTAGTCTATAGACAATTCATAAGACACACCTGTGCGCTCGGACACGTGTGTTCCAGTTGATTACTATTGAGTACTGCGTAAGTTCATACCATTTGTTCCTTATCTTTTCATGTGAAGGTACGTAGGGGTTGTAATTGTTGTGCTCGTAGGTACATCTTGAAACGCTACGGTATTTATAACAACCTTTTTTTTTCTTATTTCGCTCATAACCGATCGTATATGCAGTCAACTAATTAACAAATTGGGGCGGAAGACGTTTTTAGCCTACCGTATGTCCCGCTGTATGTGTGCCTATGCATGTGTTTAGGAGATTGAGTCGGCTCGGGCCCAGGAATCGGTAGCGGACATTGCAACTGGATACTGAAGTGTGACGTCACGCGTAGGATACAGACGGAATAAAAATATTCTAGTGGGGCGCCACTTTGATAGGCTGTCCCTTTTTTGTTTTTAGAGATAAATTAATAATTTTTTCACCATCTTGTTTCATTTTTACTAAACTTTCATTTGAGGTAATAACAAAAAAATGGTAAACTTGTCCATTAGAGAACCAACACTGACAGTTTAGTATAGTTACTAGTACACATCGAGTGATGAATAGTTAGAAATATTTGTCAGGTTGTCATATTTAATCCAGAAAGCGTTAAATATTCTGAGGGCATTGATAACATTCACTCCTCGAACCAATATAACTTATATATCTCCCTAAAATGGAATCAAGTAGATCGACTCGGTAGTCCCCACTCATTTTAATTTAAAGCAATTCTACATTTTGGGTACAAAGTAATGAGTACATCATTTACCACTCAAAATACGGATTCAATAATTTTCGGCCTGAAATTTCTCAGTATACAAAATCAAGGTACTCTACAAGTTATAGAGTAGTACAGCATTCCCGGACAGACAACCACAGATTGGCAGAACGACAAAAAGAAAAGAGTAACATGGTTTTTCATGTGAAAAAACAAAATGAGCGCTATCCGTTAACATAAAGCGATCAAGCATGGACGCCCTTTTATGCTGAATAGCAAGGTTGTCGCATGTTTTGTTGGTTTGGCAGCATTGTTTATTTGCTGCAAATTGTTAAAGCTATGTGACGGTTACTGCTATCCAGCATAAATCTACGCCACTTTACGTTAACAGAACGTGCTTAATTAATAATGATCAAGTTTTATCAGCCTGAAATATCCTAGAATTGAAAAAGGAAATATCGCCTCACAATAGAGCGCTTCACGAAACAGTAGAAATCTAGAAATACCCCTGCCTTTCTGAGGGACAGGAAAAACTCTTGGCGACGATGTTAAAGCGGGGATCTGGCAACAGCGCAGGGGAACAATCGAGCTTGCGAGGTCGACAGGGAAGCGCGATCGTCGGCTGCATTTCGTGCCGCCAATTTCGCGGCAGCAACGTTGCCACGTTTACGTTTGCTTACGGTAATTACCGACAAATTGTATATGAGATGTGTATACAACATAATCTTAACCAATATGGAGGGAAATAAAAATGTTACATGGCCATTGAACAAATGATATGATTCAAATTATCTGCATCCACACCATGGGCATTGGAGGAATTTTGATACCAGAGCACTGCGGATGCTGTGAGGAGCTTTAAAAACTTTGTTAATCGGTTTTTTTAACTGCCTAAGGCTACTATAGTAGAACTGGGAAACGCCTATCTGGATACTCCATGGTCGAAGGAGACTGTTCTGTACAAACGAACTTTGATACGGTTAGTATGGGTGGTCGATGTCAGGCGGATCTGTGTGGCAGGAACATCGCACGGCGGCATCATAGAAGATAGCTCTGAGAAGTAAATGGATCCGATGATGGAGTTTAAGAAAGTTTTAAAATGTTTTGACAGCCTATTTGTAGCTTTCGTGTCACCGCGTAATCTCAGGAACCATTAAGCACGTTTCGACGAAATCTGGGGGTGGTGATTTGTGTGGAGCTGTAGTAGGTTATGGAATGATGTTGCGTTTTTTGGATGTTACGTAACATTGTACATCATGAAAAATCATGGCGCTCATTTTAGCCTGTCCGTTTGTATGTCTGTTGGTCTGTCCGGTAGTCTTATTACCGCCTATAACTTTAGAAGTATCGCTCGCATTTCGGTGTAATCTATACACAATGTTACTACTATACCAAGGACGCAAAAACTGAAATAAGATCGAAAGTTATCGAGATGTTCGATCAAACGCGTTTATCAAAATTTCCCTATCATCAGCGTGTCACTAGAAAGCAATATTTTAACTATATAACAAACAAAAAATTGTTATTCAAAATTTTCCTATTACCTGGCCTAGTAATACATCACAAATTTCGCTGGCTACTTGCAGGTAGTTGGGCAAGATGGATAGCGGCAATAAAAAAATAAAACTGGATCCAGATTTAGTAAAAGGAAGATCACAGCAAAATCCAGAATCAGATGAAGATGACATATTTGAAGAGACAGTTGAACCATGCGATGAAAATATAGAAGTAGAGGCAGAACATTGCCTCATAAAATACGAAGATCAGGAACCGGTAGACGCAACAGAATATATGGTAGAAATAAGTGCAGACCTGCAAGAAATGTAAGCTACATTCGTCTAAATCGTCTGCAAGTTGTTATACAGGGTTTTATTTGAAATTATTGCATTCTTTTTTGTATAAAGGCTTTATTTTATTTTTACATATTATTTACACTTCTATCGGTCTGTTTAGCTTTGGTAAAATTCAGGCAGCGATACGTCTTAAGATAATGCATTTTTATGTTTATTTTTTTTGAAATGGTGACAACAATGAGAATTGAGACGATACATAATTCTTTTTTTGTGCGTGTCTATTTGATTGGATTGGAGTACACAATAGAAACATGTAAAAAACAACAAAACTCCCAGAAGTTTTAGACAAATGCATTCAGGCTCTAGGGTATGTCAAACATACGCCCCTAAATCAATCATAATTGGCTCCGTGCGACTTCCTTTTGTTTCCAAACTTGAAAAGTCAGTCCTCCGGCAGACATTTGAGTCGCATGAGGAGGTTTTTGCCGCCACGGAGGCCTATTTTGCAAACCTCCCGGAAACGTATTGTTAAAGAAGTTGAGCCACTGCTGCAGCAAGTGTATAGAGCTAAAACGAGTCTATGTTTTTTTGAAATAATTTATTTAAACACAATAATACAAAATATATAACCAGTTTTAACAATAATTCTCCAATCAGTGTTTGCAAACACTGGCCCCGAGAATAACAAGACAATAATCAATATCTATGAACTATAGAGGTACACCGCAATGTTGATCATAATTTCAACAAATAAATTCATTAACATTTTTAAAATCTTTCAATTCTCTAACAAAACTTCTATAGTTATTTGAATCTTTATACAATGAGGTAAATTATTAAATTTCTTAATTGCGTCTTTTTTAAACCTATATTAGTTCTTGTGGAAATTTGATAAACATTATTTAGTGATCTTGTTTGGTGATCATGCACGTTATAGTAGAACCTAATATTTATGTTACTTTTTAGTAGATTATTTATAATTTTATAAAAAAGTTTACATTGTTCCACCTCCAATAACACTCTTAATTTGTTTAAATTTAAATTTGAATAAAGTGTATGAGAACTTGTAAGCCAATCAAAATTAAACAATATTTTCAGAATTTTATTTTGTAAAACTTGAGCTTTATTAATATTAATTTCACCGCACATACCCCATACTGGCAAGAGGTACCTAAAATATGTGAGAAAGAAGGCATTATAAATTTGAAATTTGCTTTTGTTGGACAAATAATGTTGAGAAGTAAATCGCCGCTTTTCCAAAATTTACGCTTTTCTTCGCTACATCTGATGGAGTGTAGTAATCAATGGAGAAATGTAAACAACAAAAAAGTGTCATAACTTGCAGACGAATGTATTATTAATGTGTGAGATGTATAGAGACAGTTTTCTTGACTGATTTGATTTTCTTTCAGGATAAATGACAGCACACCACAATTTGAAGACGAAACAAAAAACGAAGATTCAACTGTAAAATCAGACAAAAGGGCCATAAATGGTTTCATATGCAATACATGTAATTTTATCACTACAGAACCGCTTGACTTCACGAATCATTGGTTGAGTCATGAGACCCGGACATATACATACCAAAACGGTGTGTATGTTTGTCACATTTCTCACTGTTTGAATGTATTACCTAGTAAAAAGGAACTCTTGAAACACGTTGCATTGCAACATCTGTCCAGATATCGTTGCTCGTTCTGCTACTATGTGACGTACTCAAATGAGGACTTTGATGAACACAGCAGTAACCACTACACATACCAGTGCGTCAAATGTGATTTGCAATCTACGAAACATTTTTTTGTGCAAAACCATCTTGCAACTCCCTTGGAATGCGAGTTATGTGATTTCAAAGCATATCATTGGATCACGTACCAAAAGCACATCAATCTGCATCGCTATCCACCAGACTCAATCATCGAATGCCGATATTGCGGCTTTGCAACTGGGGATAAAAATCTGCACAAAAAACACCTAACCTCCCATTTTGGAAACTTCATATTTTGTAAGATGTGTGACTTCAATGTCGGAGAAAATTCAGCAGATCTTGATAATCACTACAAAAATTCTCATAATACCACACTTGACGCCGTAAGAAAGATGCGCAAATGCAAGTTTTGCACGTGTAAATTCATAAACCCGGAGCCTAAAGATATGCACGAAAAACTTCATTTGAAGAAAAATACCACCTTTAAATGTTGCACAAATTCGACAACGGTGCAGTGTCCTTACTGCAGGCACGATGATATAAATATTGATGAACATATACTCTCGAAACATTCAGCCGAATTTGAACTCGAGGGCGTTCGATTCGAAAGTAATGATGACGAATCAGTAATAAAAGTATCATATTTTTGTAAAACTGAAGACGAACAAGAAAAATTTACCGCAGAGCATAACGATGCAATACCGATATCTGACGACAATGCAGATGATCAAGAAATTGAAGATGCAGTTGTAATCGATGCTGACAAAGTTTGTCGCAATTGCCCGAAATGTCAGCGTATTTTTAAGGGGATGAAGGCATTCGAAAAACATTTGTCGATGGAACACAATATCTCTTACGCAGAAGCAATAAGAAAATCTAAAATTAGTCTATTATGTGAATTCTGTGGATACAGCACATTCAAACTAAGTACGTTGAAAGAACATTTTATTGCTGATCATTCCAATTTAAATAAATCTAAACCGAAAATGGAACCAAAACTTATACCTAATAATCGACGTTACATATGCCCCTTTTGTTATGATGTAACATTCGCTGAACACGAATTTGAAGCGCATTGTCAAACACATACCATATTCAAATGTACTGAATGTCACTTTGAATCCACCAAACGACTTTTTGTCGAAGACCACATGGACAATCCTTGGGCTTGCTCAAAATGCGAGTTCAGATCACATCATTGGCTCCCATTGAAAAACCACTCGGTCAACCAACACGACACGATAACCCCGCTTTATAGATGCAAAGAATGCAATTTTGAAACAAGAAAACTGAGACTTCTGAAAACTCACCGATTTACCCACTCATGGGCGTTTATACAATGCACGATATGCACGTATAGGACAGGTAGCGAAGATGCCATAAAAAGCCACTATGAAAAATGTCATGATTGTAACGAACCTGGAGGTGTGAAGGAAGATGTCGACCGACCATACGAGTGTGAGTTTTGCGATTGCAAGTTCAAAAGAGAAACGTTTCTGGATAGGCACAGAGCACTGCACGGGGCGAACGGACCGTTTAATGTCAAATGCAGTCAATGCCATAATTCCAATACATCAGTGTCAAAATACGATAACGGCAAAGATACAAATGGCGACGGCTGGACAAAGTGTCCTTACTGTGCTTACAAGGACGAAGCTCGATACAAGATGTTCGATCATTTAAGCCAGATCCATGAGAACGAGCTAGAGATCGAAGGCTTTCGATATAGAGAAACAACAAACAAATTATATGAAGAAACTGCAAATACCGAAAAACCTGCAAAACGCAGACTGGCGGTTACAGCAAATACACAGCCTCAAAAACAGAAGAAGAAAGTCTATGAAAAACCTAAAATAAGCACTGATGTAGTTGAAACAAATAGGGACCATCTAGAATGTACAGCAACTACATCATCCAAAAAGACTAATACCAGCGAAGCTTCTTCGAGTCGCGCAAAGCTGGTAAAGTTCTGCCCAATTTGTCCTTTTTTCACAGTTCGACGGGAGGAGTTCTTGAAAAAACATATTCACTCCAAGCATTGCGGTTACAAATGCGACATATGCGGTCATACGACAAAAGGTATATTCACGAATGCACACATGGATGAAAAGCGTCCACAGCTGACACTGGGTGCAGAATCATCAAATGAACCAAAGATTTTATTTTGTCCGGTATGTGGCAGATCGCGGAGACATGTGTTCACTCAAAATGTGGCAGAATTACAAGAAGAAAACTTGTCTGTTACTGATGACGATTACAAAGTCAAGGAAGAAGTTACAGAAAGTGATGATGTTGCTTTTGAAGAAGCAGATACTTTGCAAGAAGACGCAGATAGCATAAAGCGATCTACTGAAGAGCCTGATGATATTGCTCAAGCAGTAGCTTTACAAGTTGAAGGTGCAGATAAAATACAACAACCGAATGAAGAATTTGAGGATAATGCTTATTCAAATATTTCGCAAGAATCTGGTGATATAGCTCAAGCAGATACTTTGAAAGACGAGGATGCAGTTAACATACACCAACCTATTGAAAAAATTGAAATCAAAGAAGAGATGATAGCTTTTGAGAAAATTCCTCATACGGTTTTCTTGAAAGAGGAAAACCCGGATAGCGTTGAGAAAATTGAAATAAAGGTGGAAGCTACAGATGTCCTCGGGCTCGAAACTGTGGAAGGTATTACTACCGCGGATGCAGCTTGTGCAAGTAGTCGAAATTCAGGCCAAAATGAACAAAAACCAAGACGGAAAGGAACAGGTCCATTCTACTGTCAACGTGATAAGAGATGGCATTGCCCATTTTGCGACTATAATGGGATGAGCAGCTATTATGCTGCCCAACATTGCGAGCAAATTCATAAGGGAGATCAAAATCTAACCTTCAGGTGTAGTATCTGCTGTTACGAGACGAGATCTTGGCGGTTCTTCAGTGATCATATAAATTTGAAGCATGTTACGGAAGCTGGCCCAGAAGAAATTCCTTGCAAGCAAACGGGCTGCGACTACAAAGCGCCATCCGTGGACGAGTTGAGTAAACACTTAGCGCGCCATCTGCAATCTTCCATAAAGGATCTCATGAAGTACAAATGCAAGCTATGCAATTTTGCTACGGTCTCGGAAAACATTTTCAAAAATCATAAGTGCATCTCGAAGACGTGCCTCGAATGCTATGAATGCGGATTCAAAGGCGAAACGAAAATGAGAATTTATTCTCACATCCTTAAAAGGCATACGTATACGTACTCACAGAAAAAGGGGTACCAATGCCGGAGATGTGGACGTAATTCTCATGACGAGACCTGGAGGGAGCGCCATTTTGTGAGATGTCCTGAAATGTAGTAATTTATTATATACAATTAGAATAAATGGTGCATAAAGATCTCCATGTTTCACATTCGAAAATTTCTGCAAACTCATCCCTAATAGTACACTTTGTTTCTGGATCGACCAGTTTAGGTCACAGGGTCGCCCCGGGAACTTACTTGAAACGTACCTATAACCGGGGATCCAGGGGGGAGGTCAGGGGGTCATGACCCTCTGGACGAATCTAGATTGACCACTAATATTTATGACTTCCGAATCTTTGACAAATTTAGTGAAATAACGACTTTTTGAAAATACGTAATGGATTCAAACGGGTAAAAAATTTGGTGAAAACTAACCACATCTATAGTGTATGTACACCCAAGATAGAATGGATGCGTGATTGCCAAAAGCAAGGACGGCGTACAGGGCCGCATTCAGGGCTACCTCCGAATGATGGACTACCACCAACGTGTTATAAAACAAAGATGACAGTATTTAATAATATTATCTAATATAGTGAAGTAGTTATAGTTAAGGGTGTCGCAAAATCAAATTTTTATTCTTGAAGGAATGCTAAGTTTTTCTACAGATTTTTCAAACTAGACAACATGGAGAAATACATACCGGAGGTAACCAGCTGCTCACTATGCAGATGCACAATGAATCCGTAGTCAACGAGGGGTAGAGATGACACTTTTGTACATGGAATAAATATAAGGCTGTTCAATCAATTGAAAATAGATTTTCAAGGTGCACTTCGGACTTGCATTGTCTGTAGTTTATCTGTAAGTTAATATTTCACTATAACTAGGATTCCTACAATATGTATTCTGTGACAAAACAAAAACGCGAAACTTACTCTGACTCACTTGAAGAGCTATCGTCATTAATGTTTATGGTGATGGATTCAAAATCTCTCTCAATTATGTTGTCCAGCTCCCACATTGCTACCTCCACTTTCTCCAGGAAATTTAAATGTTGTATTGTGTGCAGCAACAAAATTCTTAACATCTGCCCATATGAGCTCAATGGGGTTGAGCTCACAGTGACAAGGCGGCAAACGGAGTACTGTTTTGTGGTGCGCTTTGGCCATTTCATCTATGACATATTTATCATGTCTTGGTCTGTGTTGTTTAACAATATCTAATAGTTGTAATTTCAGTAAGGAAGGGTCGAAAGTTATATTTTTGGAACGGAGCCAGCTCTGAATGTCTGATTTCCTAGAAGCTGAAGTTGGGATTTTTCTATTTTGCGAGAATGATAGGGAGCATTATCCAAAACAACCACAGAATTGTCTTCGAGACGTGGTAAAATGCCTGAAAAGCACTTCTCGAATGCTTCCCCATTTATCTCTTCATGGTAGTCAGTAGTTTTTTTGAGTCAAAAGACCATAAGCCGTCATACACGAAGCCATCTACACCCCCAATGTGGCGAATAATGAGCCTTTTGCCTTTGCCTGGAAAGATAAAATCCGTTAAGTACACATGCACGTCTTGTAGGTACGAAGATAGAGAGATATTGTGCGCAAAAATTGATACCGTGAACTACTTCGATCTATTTACCTGCTGGATTTTTCAATCCGGTCGACACTCCATCTAGAAATGCCCTTTTGCGATTTTTACCCGTCATTGGCTTGGAAAAGGCATGCTTTTTCTTATGTTCGTTCAAAACATTGTACACTGTCGCTTGGCATACCCCAATTTTATCTGCCACTTTCAGAGCTATTTTCGGGTTAGTTGATGTTTCATCTTCCTTCCGCTCTATCATGATTGTATTCAATATGACGTCTTTCATGTCTACGCTAAGATGTCTTTTTTTTATCGCTTTCTAGGAGGGCTAAGGGAGTAGCCTACAGCCTCGTCAGCAGTGTCTGTACTGGACATGTTCAGGATTGGTTCAAAACAAATAATAACGAGGAATAACAATAACAAACAGAAACTTAACAAATTACTCAACTACACTTAACAACAACAGCAACAACCAAGCAAGGTGAATACGAAAACACGAGCACGCACGCGACGGTCGGTGGCCTGAATGCAACTCTGCCTGCCCTGCCCCTGCCCCGCGCATTATTCCGCCATTCGACCGCTTGAAATAATGGCGACTTGTCCAATAAGAGGCGTTGTCCCCACCTGTTACCGAGAGATCACGCGCTAACTGTTATTATTTACATCTCATCTTGAATTTGGATTCAGTCTAGATTGACCACTAATATTTATGACTTCCGAATCTCTTTGATAAATTTAGTGAAATAACGACTTTTTGAAAATATGTAATGGATTCAAACGGATAAACAATCTCTAGATTTGGTGAAAAATAACCACATCTAGCAAACCTGATCAATTTGTAAGCGCATCGATGATGGCGTAAGTATTGACGCAAATATAAATAAAATAGTGATTCTGCATTTTGTCGGGTTGGTAGCACTGCGTGTCCATTAGTGCATTATGTGCATGATGGTACAGTTTAATCATGTACAGGGTGTTTCCCAAACATGGGACAAGAATTCAAACGGCGACTCTTGGGCTTATTGTATTTGATTGTCTCGAAATAGGTTTATCTTAAATAATGTTCACTTAGCGTTGCTTTAGTTTTAATGTCGGTTATGGGGAGTCATGATTTGGAAACGGTTGCAATAAAACTGTATCAAAATAATGGCTGTTTTACTCCAACACCTCTAACCATAGAAACTATCAAGCCTATCTCTCTTGTAATTAATACAAAATGAGACGAAAACCCCAGTCCCCAGTCTGTGGATGGACAAAGAAAGATTAACAAATAATGTAGATTATGGCCAATAATATTGTGTCCAACTATTGGAATGAGTGTCATTCTAAAATCCCTTGCAGAAAATGACTAAACTAAAATACTTTCTTTTCGCTGAGATATTAGAAACATTTCATACCATTATCGGATTATTCGTTAAACGACACATTATTTAATAAGTTTTTAAACATCCAATGCCTTTAATATTGATTAATCATCCATTTTGTCATTCATGGTAACAGTGTTGTTTTTCATGCAAAAAAGATGTGTCGCAGACCGCAGACAATTATACAATAATCGTGATACCATTTTATCAAAACATATGGATCTTTTAGTTTAAATGCTATAGTAATTAAGCAATTTCAACATTTTCAGCAACATGTTCCCAGTGGCGGCCGGTCCATAGGGGCGAAAAGGCTACAGCCCCCCAAGACAAAATGCGAATTAACAAAAAATTTAAAATATGATTTTGTGATTAAATAATTTCCAGATATATACGAAAATTCAATCAAAACCTGAATTTTAATAGTAGCCAGTTACGCAACACGCAATATATATATATATATATATATATATATATATATATATATATATATATATATATATATATATATATATATTATCCGATCCCAATACCCCGAAGTCGCGAGCTAGATTCCCTATCGATTCGAGGCTAGAATAATTTTTGCCGCGATCGCCGACCTGATTGAGTGGCTCGCTACGTCATACCTCCCACGCGCTTACGAGTTTTATACGGGATTTTAACACGCGAGTTGGCGAAATAATTTTTAGCCAGTCCCGATTTACGTGTGTACGAAATCGCTTCGTCGCGTCCCCGTGCCGTCGTTCGGGCGTTCAAAAAGTTTAAAATGGCAAATGAAGTACAAAATTTGTTAAAAGGTGAATTTTCTCGGCTTCCGCTTGCTGAAAAAATAATAATAAAATCCCTTGGAAGGCCGATTCCAAATATCAACCTTACTCAGGCTGATAAATCGACGAAAGCTGGTTGTTTTAAGAGACATTTTAAGAAAGATATCTATAACAAAAACAAATGGATATGCGGTTGTGGCACATTAAACGCCCTGTTTTGTTTTCCGTGCTTACTGTTTTATTCAGATGCAGCGGAAAAGACATGGACAAGAACTGGATTTAAAGATTTAAAGCATATAAACCAGAAAATTAGTAAGCATGAAAATTCGGCTCGTCACATGATTTGTTCGACAGAATTAGCTTTATTGGGAACAGCTAGTATCGCTGCTCAGTTAGATTCCGCTTACAGGCAAAATATTATTAAGCACAACGAGCAAGTGGACAAAAATAGATATCTTTTAAAAAGAATAATAAACTGTATAAAGTTTTGCGGTAAATTGGAATTAGCGTTAAGAGGGCACGACGAAAGTGAAGACTCTGAAAATCGTGGCATTTTTCGAGAGTTGATTAATTTTACGTCCGAACTGGATACAATATTAAAGGAACATTTAAAAAGTGCGACTCTGTTTAAGGGTACTTCTAAAACAGTACAAAATGAAATACTAGATAGTATGTTAGAAGTCTGCCAACAAGAAATTCGACAGCAAATTAATGCAGCAGAGTTTTTAGCTATACAGTGCGACGAAACAACAGATATTTCACATCATTGTCAAATGGTAATGATATTTAGATATCTCCATGAAGGTGAAATACAAGAAAGATTTTGGCGTTTTTTGAGCGTTACGGACAAGACAGCTGAAGGTTTGGCAAAGTGTATCGAAGAAGAACTAGGCCCATTATTAAAAGATTCACCCCACAAATTAATTGCGCAAACTTATGATGGTGCAAACGTAATGAGCGGTAGCAGTGGTGGAGTTCAAACAAAAATCAAACAAAAATATCAGAACGCTCATTTTATACACTGTTACGCTCACCAACTGAACTTAATTATGCAGAGAGCAGCCAGCCAAAATCCAAAAGTAAAAGTGTTTTTTTCAAACCTGTCGGCAATTCCAAGTTTCTTCTCCAACTCCACGCACAGATGCGATTTATTGGAAAAAATAGTTAAAACCAAAATGCCAAAGGTTGCGCCAACACGGTGGAATTATAACATTCGCACAGTCAGTGCCGTTTTTGAGAACCGTGAAAGTCTTATTGATTGTTTCCGGGAGTTAGAGAATAAATGTGATAAAACAATTACTAGTAAGGAGGCATACGGTTTAAGAAGAGCACTCGAAGATTCTGATTTCATCTTTTTTTTGACTTTTTTTCACAAAACCCTACCGCACGTAGCTATTTTGTTTAACCAGTTTCAAAGTAGGAATAAAGACAGTGTACAACTTTTAAAAGATATTGACGTATTTGAGAAGGCCATTGTATTGATTAGGGACACTACAGAGGATATACAGCAAACTGTTGAAAATGAGCATGGAGACAATGGAAATAAACGCAGAAAAGTAGGACCCGAAGAAAGAAATTGTATTATTGCAAAAGAAGTTTGCGATATAATAATTGTACAGACAAAAGAGAGACTTTCTTACAGGGGTCATCTAGAAGCTGCATCTTTATTAGATACACAAAACTTCACAAACTATTCGAGATATTTTCCAGCAAAAATACTGAATTCAGTTGTGACTTATTATCCAATGGTAAATAAAGAAAAACTGAAAACCGAATTAGAAGTAATGTACATGAGGGAAGACTTCAAAAATATTACAGGTGGTTTGAATTTGCTGTCCCTATTGACTAATAACAACCTAGAGGAAACTTTTAGCGAAGTAACTAAGTTGTTGCAAATAATTATAACTACTCCCATGTCAACTTCCGAAGCAGAGCGCTGTTTCTCAACCCTTAAGAGGATAAAATCGTTTTTAAGAAACTCGATGGGCAATGAACGACTGAATGCATTGGCAATGATGTCTGTTAATAAGAATCTGGTACATAATATCAGCAATTTCGACGAAAAAGTGATGGAACATTTTATTTCACAGAAAGACAGAAGATTAGACTTTACATATAAACATTAAAAAATATTTTGTAATAAATAGAAGTGTGAAGTGTGACAGTTGAAACACAATGTTTGCTCTAGCTGTAGGTAGGTATACTTAGTCGTTTATAATACAATAATACATTTAGGTATACCGTATTTCTGTTCTCTTTTCCAGTTATTTATAGTTACATGTGTTGTAAGAAAGTGAAAAACTATACTTTTGAGTACTGTTGTTCTTTTGATAATAGATGCTCTGTTGCTTTCATATTAGATGCTGCTTTCTTTTGCGATAAGTTCTCGTACCTAAAATATGTTTGTTCCTATACAGAGGACTGTACATAAAATATATAGGCATAGGATTGCCAACTGATCCATCCACAAAATCAGGACATAAAAAATGGAAAAAAAAATATAGCTCTAAAAATGTATATTTGAATTTGAAGGCTCAAAATGGAAGTTTTTGGGCGTGGCACCGTAAAAATTCTTTGCCTCCGGCGGTGACTGCGGCAGGCCACCCTTCCCTACAATAGCCCCCCATTTCTCACAGCCACCGGCCGCCACTGCATGTTCCATACCTAGTAAATATAATTTATTGATCTACAACTATGTTACGATTCCTAGAACTATGTTACCTTTATGTCCCTATTTTTAAAAGAGTAAAGTTAGATTTTTTTATAGAGTTGGCACTTTGTTGTATATTTTATATGTCAGATATATACTACTTTTATTTACGAACAATAACTTAGTTAAATTCTCGAATTTCATTGAATTTAAGCAATTTGAGAAAAAAGTTAGTTTCATATAAAACATACAGAGTAACAGAGTATCAATAATTTTAAGTATTATTCATAAGTAAGAAACAATACTGTGATTTTCCATGTCAAACATGAGAGTAAAGACTTAATTCATGTTAATTACAAAGAAGAATATAAAAAGATATGTTTGTTGTTGGGGCCGTTCAAGTATTACGTAAGCAGATTTATTACAATTATTTACCCCTCCATCCCCCTTGTCAGCAAAAGTAAGCAAAGCTCTTACCCTCTCCCCCATGCTTACGTAAACATTTCTCAATTATTGTATAGTTTTTTTTAATATTATAATTATAACGTTATAATTATAATTTGAAAAATAAGAAAATAGATTTAGGATTTGCAGGAAATCTTTGAGTGAAGCACTTAAGCTTAGAGCTAAATTGACTGGAAGATTAAGAAATTGCCCTCCTTCATCGAAAACCAAGTAATCAACTGTTTGTTTTACTTTTAGAGGTGGTGGAACAAACCTAGTGTCTAGTAATCTAAATAGGCCACTTCTTGGACGACAGCATTGTGTATTTCTACATTTTACAATTTGAAGCACGCACATGTTCCGAATACCATTTAATGTCTAGAAAATCAGGAAGATCTTGTTCACCTGCCCCAACATATTTTGCATTAACATTATAGCCATCAATTTTCATTGAACTCCATACTTCAGCTAATACATTTCCTGCAAATTCGAAATTAGATCTTTCTAAATGTTCATCAATTGTAACGCCACGTTCATCCAAATGACACCCAAAATGGTCATGAGGCAATATTAAACCAGCCAGTTCCCGACTAAGAGGAGCCATTCTGGGCTCTACTCTGTTCTACGCACTTCTTCCAGGAGCATTGGTAGCTAAAAACAATGCATCGAGATCATGTCGCTTTAGGTGTTGTATAGCAACCCTATGACTTTCTGATAACGTGGATTTTCATCTGGCCCTCTATCAACCGTCATGATTACCACTGGTTTTACTAGTCCATGGTCAGTTTTAGCTAATGGTCGAAACACTTCAAGTTCGAGAAGCGTCTCGAAATCCTGAGCATGAGTATTAGCAGTAGATGAACTACGCTTTCCACTTCGAATAGCGATGTATGTTGATCCAGAATATCCAACGGCTTGCGTTTGTCCCAGCATATTGGAAGTGATTTTGATACCAGCACAAACAGATGGTATTAATTTATGACGCTCAGCGATTACCCA